TCTTTTGTCCCATATAGAGCTGCTATAAAGTCCTTCCAAAAGTTTTCAATTGAGTGGAAATCTGTGTTAAGACCTTTGAAAATATAGACCTTTTGCAACTTCTTGTTTCCAGACTGAAGCTTGTTTATCTTTCTGGTATTGAGAGAAAGTAGTATCACTACCAATGAATGCACACGGATGAGAATCTTAAAACTGCTGGATGAATATATTTTCCTCCCTACCACCATACCTTTCCTAGGTTTGCATAAATAAATATTCGATTTATGTAGTGTTACAGACAGAATTACCAGGAAAAATTGTGAAAATGATTCTGATGTCACAGTAGGATCTGCATGCTTCAGGGCTGGTGCTTCCAATAACTTGACTTCTTCACTTGATGAACAAAGTCTAGAGCAGAGGCGATATTCATAAGATATTTAAAACTACATATGGTGCTTAACAGTGCCTCAAGACCAATTTGAAGGTGTCGGAAAACCCGACACCATATACTAGCATTTACTAAAATAGGCAGGTAATATTACTGCCGTTTTGTAAAAACAAATTAACAGTAGAAATAGTGCTTCAAGCACTCATAGAAAATGAGGCACAGTGAATTTTATGCAGTAGAAAACGAGGGATATCATTGCCACATTTCGCTACTAAATTCACATACTAAATAATAGGAAACATCCTCAATACATCAGTCTTTGGACTGTAAACATCATAAAAACATTTCCCTTGAATCAACTTAATTATCAGTACTAAAATAGAGTAAGTGAGGGCCCCTCTAGCCACTTCTTGACGCATCTGCAGAACAAGGGACATGGGCAGTGGGTGGAAGGCCAACCACAGTCGCCAATTAATTTAACAACAGTCTCGCTGGGGCTAATCTAGCTCCAATAATTTCCCTTGGACAACAGTGTTATGGGAAGTAAAGTGCTCCTATTATCAACACCAACTCCGTCTACTATGAAGGGAAGTGTCCTAATTCCGAAACCCATTTATTATCTTTCACTCCTGATCAGTAATGTTAAGTAGCTATAGGGTGAACCGGTTAGGATGCGAATCGAGACACAAAACAACGTAAATATTCTTTGAACTTACTGTAATAAATTATACCAATATTTCCTCTGATATAGCTGTCATATTTAGGATTACTGCTATTATTGTAAGTGCCCTTTGATAGGTGTAATTGAAGAGGAAGAATATCACCTACCTGGCACCCTATTATCATGTGGTTATACTAGCCTCACCCACAAGGATTATTTGGTGTGATCATCCTTGTTCATACCTGATGAACCAGGCCCACTTCAATACAGACAAGGCTTCCCCATTTAATTACTAATATATGTAGTCTAATACAGTAGTGAATGTCGACTAATCAATAATTCATATTGATAGACTATATATATATATATATATATATATTGTGACGGTGTTCCCCCCCCTTATATTTCTCCCACGCCTGCAGTAAGAGTCATGTCCACTTTACCCAAGCGTTCTCTACGTAGCAGGCATCAATTTGATATATGGGAGAGAGTGGAGTGTTCTCGGAGAGCCGAGAAATTTGTGAAACTGTAATATTTTGGCCTGTGGTTTAGGCCCTTTAGAGAGCCAAGATGGCGCCGGCTCTCCTGATTCCCCCCAAAACTGTGTGACGTCAGTGGCACCGGATTGGTCACCGACAGCAATGTGGCACCGAGAGGCAATGAAAACCTCCCGTGGCGAAAGTGACGTCACGAAGGAAGGAGGTCCGGGCAGCGCCCCGCGCTGGCGCCAGCAGTCAGACACGACACGTCAAGGAGGTTGGACGTGCGACGTTTGGTCCTGTCAGTTTGACAGTTGTTTCCCGCTCCCGTGGATTTACGCATCACCTGAAGTCTGCCAGTACTCTGTGAGGTCTTCCCTAGTTCATGTGTTGAACCAGAGAGGGAATCGACAGTTATTGAGCAACAAGTGCTCCAGGACAGGTACTGTGCAAGGAGGAGTGAAGACTGTCCAGTGACGTAGGCGATGTCTGAGGCAGTTCACCCATTCGTGACGGCGTAGTGGCTGACAGAGCCACTGGGTAGCTGAGGAAGAAGAGGACTATTTGGGAATCCGGACGACTGCAGCTGAGACGTAGGCGGCAGCCGTTGCTGGGAGAAGTCGACGGCCAGCTCCAACCCTTCAAGAAGTCGAGAAGGAGTACGGACCTGCAGGGAAGAAGGCACGGAGACGACGCGCTAAACGGTGGGACGACGAGTGGTTCCGGTAGGGCACGACTACGTGTGTGTGGGGGCGTTCCCGACACCAGGACCAGGAGCTACAACTCAACTCTCATCGGAGGATAGGTTGAAGTAGGTGTTTCTAGTTTCCCTCCCAAATTCCCCTTTAGTCAGCTATATTATTCGGCTATATTATCTAGCCTGAGGATTTTGTATGTCGTGAGCAAGTCTCACCAATGTCATAGTAAGGCACCAGTGTGCAGTGTAGTACTATCAAGAGTATTTATAATATTCATGTTTATTATTGGTGTGTACAGGCACCCGGAACAAGTGATAAATTTACTGTGTTTTGTATATCTTTCTAGAGACTTTGATGTGAACATATAGTGATAAATTATACATAATATTATGCCAGTATTTGGAAGTTAGGCTATGTGCCCAGAAACTATTTATTTACCATTTATTGATGTTTGATTTATATACATTATATGTGTCTATGTTCATGCAGTGATTAATCATTTGTGAGTACAGTGAATTATTGCGTTATCGCCCACGAGAGAAAGTACTGAAAACTCCAGTGTTAAATACTTCATTGAATGAAGGGCAAGGTAAAACCATTACATTGAGTCATTGTCGCATTGATTGTAGAAACGACTGTTTGAGCCCGAGTACAGTGCAACTAAGTAATACGTGCTATTGTTGCCAATAACGAGTGTGCGAGTTTCTAGTAATATTGGAGAACTTAAAGAAACGGCGCGCGTGAATCTAGAAAAACAAGCAATAAACTTTTGCGAGGAGCCAGGCGATCAGCTGGTCGTGACATTGACAAGAGGGGGAGGTGTTGCCACTTAGTGAGTGCATAATATTCGTGGGAACGACCGGGCTACAGCCAGGATCAGCTGATTCATTTATTGATATGACCTTGTGACATCTTTCATGAATTTTTAAGTAAAATACAAAATTACTTTTGTGTTTATATCATCCCCTCCATTGATCTTGTGGCTATATTATACTGGAAAGCAAAGAGTGATAAGAGTAAGTACCTGCCTGATTTCCTGATCTTTTGAGTGTGACCTAGCCAAGGCTACCATTAATTCAACCAGTCCACTGAGGTGTTACTGGACACCGAAAACACCAGTTGGCGACCTTGTGTTTAATAGTAAAGCCCTAGTGTTGGGGCGGGCCACACAACAGTTAAGTAAACAAGAAGTGTGTTCCCACTCCTTCTCAATCAGAAGGCCGGTTGGGATTGACTGGGATACTCTCCTGGCGTGCAGTGGCGCCGAGAGGATTAGAGTGAAGACCCGCAGGGCTACGGTGAGTGACCTTGAGATAACTGGTGGTCACCCCAGAGTAAGAATAGAGTATAAACCCCAACATTGGCGACCTTGCCAGGATAAGTTCTGATACGGTTGCTCACCGAGAATAACAATAACAATAACACCTGTAAAACCCCAACAATATATATATATATATATATATATATATATAAATTTAATAAATCCCGCAGAATGTGTAAGGAAGCGATTTGTGGAATTCTTAAATCATACAGTCCACTTCAAATATCATAGTTTGCTATCGAAAAATATTAATTAACGTAAAATATAAATTACTATATAAATTAATATAAATTATATAAATATAAATCTCACAGGTCATTTTGCATACAGTAGGTGAAAAAGGAAACATTTTGGTCTAGTTGTAGTAAGGTTTGCATGTGCTATTGAAATAATTTTAGTCTTCCAATGGTACTCAGTTCCAATATTTTTGTTCTGTAAAAATATCGTTTCTAGGAACAGACTGAGAGATTCAGAGATATCAGCTTCAGGAGTATCGAGGAAGGAGGTTGTTGCAGGGTATTTATCAATTTCATATAATATGATCTTAATCTCTTTAAAGATTTCTGCACCAGCTTGAACTGTACAAATGCATTCTTCCTGTTCGTTCTTCCCTTGTTCATTGAAAAGATTGTCAGTAAGAATGTTATAGCCAGAATCACGAAAATAAATGGTTGGTTCGCTTTTATGTCCAAAAGTGATGAATATAAAAATTATTTCATAAATCATAAAAGCCTTAAATGATATGAACTCTTGATTGTCTTGTCAGCAAGTACGCTAATGATTCCAGGTAGCCTAGCCGTATGAAAGTTTCCGTATTCGGCAGCCATCAAATTGTTGTTCATTTTTTCGAGCCGGTGTATGTTAGTCAGACGGAATTAGGTATGATAAGTGTGAATGTGTTTTACAGCGTTAAGTTGAGGAAGCCTCAAGGAGGCAGGGGGCCTTACCCGCCAGGACGGCAGCGTCATGCAAGCTGTTGTCATAATTTCCTCTTATAAGCGAGTGTGGCGTCAAGGCACATTTGTAGCTCCACCAGTATTCTAAATGCCTTTTATTTTTACATGTACAAAGCAGACGTAACATGGTTTCTAAGTGAGAATCGGTGGTCACTTTGCCCTCACACCAACCTTTTTTTCTTCCCATCTTTCAAAATGGTATTTTTTCAATATACCAGAAAAAATATAATGCACCCACTGTTCTTCGATTGATTATTTCAACGCTTTTTCACTTATAATTTGTCGGCTCAGTTTAAAGTAACTTCAGTATAAAAAAATTACCTGGCTATAGATTTTGTTCATTAATTTAATGATCAATTCAAAGATTAATGTTTGTTTTCAGTATGAACTCAAATGGTCAAGAAAGAGTAATACCAGGAACTATCACATGGAGTGACTAACGTTGCATAAAAATATTTCAAGATTGTCAGGGGCTGCAACACAGACTCACTCAGCAACACTCTGCCACCCACAGATCATGATGCAAGTTCAGACGCGGATCGGATTCATCAGGCCATCGAGGCTGGCAATCTTTCCTCACCTACAAGACAAGTTCAGCTACACCTTCGTGATCGATGAAGCCACATTGACCTTCGCCACAGCCAAGCCCCAGCTGCCGCCCCGCTGGCGGAGCCTCTACCACCCCTTCAGCGGGCAAGTGTGGGCGGCTGTGGTCGGCCTCCTCTTCCTAGTCCCGCCCACTCTCCTGCTGGTGGGTGTGCGCCAGGCTTGGTCTCCATGAAAATTCTTTGGGTGATTGTGGAGTGTTAGGGGTGTGCATATGTGTGATTATCTGTTTATTGTGACAGAGGGTTCGTTTATGTTCCAGTAATATTGGAGAGGCCGCTGGTGTTGGCGTGTGGTGAACCACAAAAGATAAAGAGGATGATAATATTGTTGTAAAGTTTTTCTGTGATAAAGGAAAATGTAGTTTGATTGTGAGTATATAAAATGTATTACAGGTTGCTTATGTTGTGTTTAGGCATTCCCGTGAGGTTTCAGCGTATCTGAATATGCAATAAACAGTGCATAACAGATGATTTTTTTTTAAATAACAATGTTTTTCAAAGAGATTCTTGTACCAAGTACTAATTATAATTTTATAAATATTCCGGCACTCTTAATAGACAACTAGTCATATATCCGGTGTTGCCTCATTTTCTGTCTCCATCGCTTCTTCTCTCCTGTTCTCTCTACCTTATGACACTCATACATTCATTAATCACCATTTAAATTTGTGTGAGCCTAGCTGCAGCATCCGTCGCCCAACCTTAGAGAGACAACCAGAGACAGACATTCCCACTCATAGATACAGATGTGATAGTGCAGCCAAGTGCGGCCACATCCCCTCGCCAAGCTAGGCCACGTCACTGTGTTACTGGTCGCGTGAACCAGTGTTACTGGTCGTGAACCACAGTGTTACTGGTCGTGAACCACTGTGTTACTGGTCGTGAACCACAGTGTTACTGTTCGTGAACCACAGTGTTACTGTTCGTGAACCACAGTGTTACTGGTCGTGAACCACTGTGTTACTGGTCGTGAACCACAGTGTTACTGTTCGTGAACCACAGTGTTACTGGTCGTGAACCACAGTGTTACTGGTCGTGAACCACAGTGTTACTGGTCGTGAACCACAGTGTTACTGGTCGTGAACCACTGTGTTACTGGTCGTGAACCACTGTGTTACTGGTCGTGAACCACTGTGTTACTGGTCGTGAACCACAGTGTTACTGGTCGTGAACCACAGTGTAACTGAACGTGATCGACAATAGCTTTGCTCATGAATATTTCACAGTTGCATGTGTCTATAGGCCTTGTAGGCACTATTGAACAAATGTTATATTTTTAGAAGATACCGGAGGTATTTTCTTGTGGTGTAGTGTTTGTATTTGTTGTAGGTGACTATATTAAAGTAGCTATGTTGTGGCAGATGTACATATTTTCCCAGAGGAAGTTATTAGTGTTACAGTGAGTTTTTCAATTATCAGGTAATTGTTACGGTGTGAGATATTTTGTTTAAATAGTAGTTGAGGGAATTTATGTTCGGGCCTCGAGGTTAACACTGGTTTTAGAGCCGTGTGTACGCAAAGAGAGAGTGCTGGCAATGTTAGAGAAAACCTTTATCAAACTAACGTTAGATCGATTATCGGTTACTTGACGAGCATCTGATAAAATAATAGGTTGTTGTCATTGAATTTGGACTTTAGCCATTGTCCTTATCTATATTATAAGAAAGAATGTCTCTCTGTCTAAAGTTGGAGGCCAAATGCCTGGATCTACCGTCACCCAAATTGGTCGAGGGAATACTCTGGGGTACGGAATGAACCTAGGGTGGTCGGGGTCATTAAAATTCAAGAGGAAACAGCTTGCTACTTTGTTACACTGACCCCCCCCCCCATCCCCCCCTCCCCCCCACTGCCGATTTTGTGTATTGGATGCTTGCTCTCCCTGGAATATTATGAAAAAAAATATCAATATTTTTTTTCCTAAAATAATAATTATTCACTAATGCTGGGAACATTAACAGAAAATTTATAATATTCACATTTCTGCCACAGCTCCTTATAACATGTAACTTAAATACAGCCACCACTTCAACCACAGACCCACCAACTGATGGCTGACACTCATCTTCACACACATACACAGCAAATATGTGGAGCTGGTGGCTGACTGGACAGTACGCTGTACACGTGATCCTGTGGTCACGGATTCGATTCCCGGCGCTGGCGAGAAACAATGGGCGAAGTTTCTTTCATCCTGATGCGCTGTTACCTAGCAGTAAATAAGTACGTGGGAATTAGTCAGCTGTCACGGGCTGCTTCCTGGGGTGTGTGTGTTTGTGTGTGCGGTGTGGAAAAAAGTAGTTAGTAAACAGTTGATTGACAGTTGGGAGGCGGGCCGAAAGAGCAGAGCTCAACCCCCACAAGCACAACTAGGTGAATACATACACAGCAAGTAAGTAATTACCAAAAGAAGGCACCAAGGCATGAAATCATACACAGCATATGTTTAACTTTTTTATTAGAAATAAACAATTATTTTTTTTAATATACATCATTGTTCATTGATTTCGGAAAAATAAACATAAATTTTAGAATATTCAAACTTCAGCCGTACTACCATAAACTCACAACTTCAATACAGAACTTCGTCTCCCAATGCCCATCATAATGAAGGCCGACCCACCATCTTCCAACATATACAAAACAAATGGATTATCTTCAGAGGATTTCGGGGCTTAGCATCCCAGAGGCCCGGTCCTCGACCAACCCTCTTTTTGTTGCACATCCCCAGGAAACAGCCCGTAGCAGCTGTCTAACTCCCAGGTACCTATTTATTGCTAGGTAAACAGGTGCCTCAGGGTGAAAGAAACTCTGCTCATTTTTTTCATTTTTTCTGCCTCCACCAGGGATCGAACCCAACACCTCAGGACTACAAATCCGAAGCGCTGTCCACTCAGCTGTCAGGCCCCTCAGGCTGTCGGGTAACTATTTAATTAAAAAAAAATATTAAAAGCAGTTTTTCCCTATAAAATCAGAGAGATAGAAATAGACAGAGATTGTTCATTAAAGATAGATAGACCTGGGCAATGCCGGGTACCCACCTAGTACTAAATGTCCAAATGTTTGAGCGGTAGATCCTTGCCAAGTTGTCTACATGCATGTCTTCTCACTCACTGTTGTTGACTCTCAGGTTGCTCGCTTGGAGGTGGCCATCACCCCAGAGGAAGGAGAAGGAAGGAGTCCCCCAGGACCCTTGCTGGTGACGCAGGACGTGGTGGGGACGCTTCTGGGGCAGGACCTCACCAGACGCCTCCCCAGCAGGAGCTCCACACAGATTGTGGTGGGAGCGTGGCTGGTGTTGGCCTTCATCGTGGGCACGGCTTACCGGGGCAACCTTACTGCCTTCCTCACTGTACTCAAGTACCCGCCCAGACCAGAGAACCTCGAGCAGCTCTTAAAGACAGATGCAAGGTGGGTACTGGCCAAGATCTGTGTCTACACGCTTGTTGCTGCTGTTGTGAGTCTATTATGTCTATTGTGACATCCTTGCTGCCTGCCTCACTGTGGTCAAGTACCCGCCCAGACCAGAGAACCTCGAGCAGCTCTTACAGACAGATGCAAGGTGGGTACTGGCCAAGATCTGTGTCTACACGCTTGTTGCTGCTGTTGTGAGTCTATTTTATGTTTTGTGACATCCTTGCTGCCTGCCTCTCTGTGTTTACAAAAAATATATTCCTATAAGAAAGTCATCCTATGTCTGTCTGTCCAAAGTTAGAGCACAGACACTTAGGACTAGCCTTACCCAAATTTGCAGAGATGGGAAGGGAGAGAATGGTCTTAGGTACTGGAGGGACATAGCATTGTTGGAGAAGGCATAAATTAAATGTTTTGACATATTTGCAATTATAGACACCCCCAGACGATATTCATGGAGTTTATATATTGTGACTTCTTGATATGAAGGAAGGACCTAGCTGATGTCGAGTCTCCTGCTATCGCTGTATCTATTAATGATTTCTGTGTTGTTTGTTAATATTTCTCTGGTGATGGTCTGGTTTTGAGAGAAGATTATATGTTCCTTGATGGAGCCCTGTTGTTCGTGCATTGTTAATCGCCTAGAAAGAGACGTTGTTGTCTTGCCTATTTACTGAGATCTTTGGGGCTGATAGTCCCTAAGTGGGCATGTGAAGGCATAGACGACGTTGGTTTCTTTCAAAGCTTTCTGTTTGGTGTCTGGGGAGTTTTCATGAGTAGCTTGGCCGTTTTCTTGTTTTTGTAGTAAATTGTCAATTGTATCTTCTGATTTTTGTCTGTGAGGATAACGCTCCTATTAATAATATCTTTCAGGACACTTTCCTCCATTTTATGAGCCGTCGATAAGAAGTTCCTGTAAAACAGTCTAATAGGGGGGTACAAGTGTTGTTAGTTGACTCTTCAGAGGTTGCATGGCATTTCACCTTTCTTTTTATGACGTCTTCAGCATAACCATTAGAGAAGCCAATGTTTACTAGGACCTGCCCTGCCCTACAGAGTTCTTCGTCGACTTGCTTCCACCCTGAGTTGTGACTTAGAGTACGGTCGACGTAAGCTTTGACAACACTCCTCTTGTACATGTCTGGGCAGTCACCATTGGCATTAAGGCACATTCCTCTTTTTGTTTCCTTAGTGTAGCCTGCAGTGCGGAAGCCTCCATTCCTTTCCGTGTCTGTTACATCTAGAAAGGGCAGCTTCCCATCACTCTGCATCTCTTAAGTGAAACTTAACACAGAATTTTGCTCGAATGCCTCCTTCAGCTGCTGCAGACGTATGACATCAGGTACCTGCATAAAAATGACGTCAACATACCTGCGGTATATGGCGGGTTTCAAGTTCATGTCAACTAAGACCCTCTGCTCTATGGTACCCATGTAGAAGTTCGCAAACAGGACGCCTAGGGAAGAAACCATGGCGACCCCATCTACATGCTTGTACATGTGTCCATCGGGACTCAAGAAGGATGCCTCTTTAGTGCAGGCTTGGAGTAACTTTCTCAGTATGCTCTCTGGTATGTCAAGAGGAGTACAAGCCGGATCAAGATACACTCTGTCCGTTATCTTCCCGATTGTTTCATCCACAGGTACGTTGGTAAACAGCAACACCACGTCCAAAGAGGCTCTTATCCCGGATGCCAGTTCTCCCCTGCAGTAAGTCAACGCATTCCTTTGGAGACTTCAGGCTAAAGGCTCAAGGCACATAAGGAGTCAGCAGGCAGTTGAGTCGCTTAGCCAGTCTGTATGTAGGTGTGGGTATCTGGCTGATGATTGGCCGAAGTAGGTTTCCAGGCTTCTGGGTCTTGACATTCAAATACACATAACCAGGTTTGTATTCCCTGATAACCTTTGGTAAGAGGAGTCCGGATTTCTTGGCGGTCACAGTTTCAATCAATCTGTTTACCTTCGTTTTCAATTCGGCTGTAGTGTACTTCGTTACTTTTGGAATTTAGTTTGCTCGTAGAGTATGAGGTTCATTTTTGCCAGATATTCGTCTTTTTTAAGAATAACGTATATTGGCGACATGTCACCTCTCCTGACGGCAATCTCCTTATTCTCATGAAGGCTCTTAGCTGCCGCTTTGAGCTCGGGGGACAGTATGGTGCTTCTGTAATCACCTCGAATCTTTCCTCCTTCTGCACTAAGTTCCGCTTGCAAGGTGTCTTTAGTGGTTATCTTCTTTGCGTCCAGAGGTCGAATATGTTGTCCAATAGGATCTCGAACTCCACTTTCCAGGGCCATCTCACTTGGTCTGGACATAACCTGACGGTTTATACCCAGATTCAAGAGAGTATTTAGTCCTGTGAGGTTGATTCCGGTAAGGTTTAAGAAGCCATCTCTGAGTCGAGGAATCGCCATAGGAATGTGGCGAATCGCCAGAGAATATGAACCTCATACTCTCCAACCAAACTAAATTCCTAGGGATTCCAAAGCCAAAGGGATTCGAATCCTTCTGGGGTGTGGAGTTTTCAGTTGCATATTGGCTTTTGGACCATTCAAGCTTGTTCGCATTTGTGTTGCTCACGTGGTCCCACAAAGTGAAGTGATTCGATGAAATGTCTATGCCCAAGCTTACCACCAAGTGCTGTTGGGATGTTGGGAAAATAGCCTCGACTACCAATGTCTCTTGAACAGTCACGGTGGTCGAGTGGTTAAATAACCAGGTATGCCATGGTGCATTGTGCTCTTGGCGGTCTGGGTTCGAATCCTTCTGGGGTGTGGAGATTTCATATATGTATATTTATATATACTAGCAGTACCCGGCCATGCGTTATATATTGAGATGTTATCTTGAGATGATTTCGGGGCTTTAGTGTCCCCGCGGCCCGGTCCTCGACCAGGCCTCCACCCCCAGGAAGCAGCCCGTGGCAGCTGACTAACACCCAGGTACCTATTTTACTGCTAGGTAACAGGGGGCATAGGGTGAAAGAAACTGTGCCCATTGTTTCTTGCCGGCGCCTGGGATCGAACCCGGGACCACAGGATCACAAGTCCAGCGTGCTGTTCGCTTGGCCGACCGGCTCCCATTGCTGTGGCTCAGCTGTGGCTCAGCTGTGGCTCAGCAACTCATGTGCGTTGCTGAGCCACAGCAACCATCCCTGTCCCCTAGTCCACCCCACCATTCCCTCACTCACCCGTCTCCTCGGCCTCCCCACCATTCCCCATTCCACCATCCCCTCTTCCATCCCACCATGCCCCACTCCCCCGTCCCCTCGTCCTTCCCCACCATTACCCCCTCCCTTGTCCTCTCGTCCTCCCCCACCATTTCTCACTTCCGTCCCCTCGTCATCCCCACCCTTCCCCACTCCCTCGTCCGATGCCTTCCCAAAAGGTCTGATGTTCCCATCACTGAAATATAAGAAAAACGGTTAAAAAATGAAATGAAAATATGAAAAAATATAAAAATAAACTATACTCACGAAATAAACGGTATGGTAAACAACACAGCTCAAATTCCAATGCAATTCACACAAAATAATTAAATCAAAATGAAAATAAATCATAATCTATGAAAATTTAATATATCAGTGCAATCAGAAACACTGAAATGGAATTGTAACATATCTAGTATAGCATGTGTGTTGCTCTTACATGCAACAGATGGCACTGTTATTCAAGAAAAGCATAGCTTTACCTGTCACAGGTGTGGCATCTATGCATATACTTATGATATGAACGGTATGGTAAACAACACAGCTCGATTCCAACAACAATGTCACACAAAATAATTCACTAAAAAATTAAATAAATCGAAATCTATGAAAATATAATTTATCAATGCAATCGGAAATATTGAAATGGAATTCGTGACATATTTAGTATATTGTGCATGTTGCCATTATGTGCAACAGATGGCGCTCTTTTTCAAAAACGCCTGCCTTTACCTGTCACAGGGATGGCATCTATATAGTAGGTATATAAAAACACGCGACTATTCGAATGCAACGTTGTGTCGACATTTCAAAGCAATAGGTGAAGAACTTTCGGAGATTACAGCGTGTGTTGCTCTTACGTCCATCAGATGGCTCTGTTTTTCAAGAAAAGCATATTTATTCCTGTCACAGGTGAGGCATGTATATAGTAGATAAATGAAAAGACACGCCTATTCGAATGCAACGTTGTGTCAAAATTTCAAAGCAATCGGTAAAGAGGTTTCGAAGATTTCACTCACATGAAAAACATATGAATAACACAGTTTTTCACAAAAATCATATCTTTCTTACCGTCACAGACGTGACATCTATATAGTATGTATATAAAAATCCGCTCGGATGCAAATGGAACGTTGTGTGAAAATTTCAAAGCAATCGGTGAAGAACTTTCGGAGATTAGTGATTTTGAACAAACGAACATTTCCCTTTTTATTTATATATATATATATATATATATATATATATATATATATATATATATATATATATATATATATATATATATATATATATATATATGTCGTACCTAGTAGCCAGAACTCACTTCTCAGCCTACTATGCAAGGCCCGATTTGCCTAATAAGCCAAGTTTTCATGAATTAATGTTTTTTCGTCTACCTAACCTACCTAACCTAACCTAACCTAGCTTTTTTGGCTACCTAACCTAACCTTACCTATATATATAGGTTAGGTTAGGTTAGGTAGGGTTGGTTAGGTTCGGTCATATATCTACGTTAATTTTAACTCCAATAAAAAAAATTGACCTCATACATAGTGAAAAGCGTAGCTTTATCATTTCATAAGAAAAAATTTTTAGTAAATACATTAATTCAGGAAAACTTGGCTTATTAGGCAAATCGGGCCTTGAATAGTAGGCTGAGAAGTGAGTTCTGGCTACTAGGTACGACATATATATATATATATATATATATATATATATATATATATATATATATATATATATATATATATATATATATATATATATATATATATATATATATATATATATATTAGTATATTTTGGTAGCAGTCTTTCCTGTAGACATATATTATTAAATGTGACCGAAAAAGTAAGATTAATAATTCTAACACGAATTTTCTCGATCTTTCGTACGTTTCTTTTCACTGTTGGTGGTAATTCAAAAATCAATTCTCCAAAATTCATTTTTATTTCTAGTCTGACGCGACACTTGAGCGCGTTTCGTAAAACTTATTACATTTTCAAAGACTTTAGCTTACACATACACAACTGAATAGAACTTACACATCTTCGATTTGTTTATGTCTATATTTGAGTGAGGTGGATTGGATGAGGTGGTATTAATAGGGTATTAAATTCCTAAACACAAGACAGAACACGAAACAATGGGAATTGAATGGAAGTGATTTGTAGAAAGCCTATTGGTCCATATTTCTTGATGCTTCTATATTGGAGCGGAGTCTTGAGGTGGGTAGAATATAGTTGTGTATTAATTGGCTGTTGATTGCTGGTGTTGACTTCTAGATGTGTAGAGCCTCGCAGACGTCAAACCGCCTGCTATCGCTGTATCTATCGATGATTTCTGTGTTGTTTACTAGGCTATGGTTTGGTTTACTCTGGCTATGGTTTGGTTGTGGGAAGAGATTATATGTTCCTTATTGGAGCCCTGTTGCTTATGCATCGTTAAACGCCTAGAAAGAGATGTTGTTGTCTTGCCTATATACTATTTTTTTTGGAGCTTACAGTCCCCAAGAGGGCATTTGAAGGCATAGACGACGTTGGTCTCTTTTAAAGCGTTCTGCTTTGTGTCTAGAGAGTTTCTCATGAGTAGGCTGGCCGTTTTTCTGGTTTTATAGTAAATCGTCAGTTGTATCCTCTGATTTTTGTCTGTAGGGATAACGTTTCTATTAACAATATCTTTAAGGACCCTTTCCTCCGTTTTATGAGCTGTTGAAAAGAAGTTCCTGTAAAATAGACTAATAGGGGGTATAGGTGTTGTGTTGGTTGTCTTTTCAGAGGTTGCATGGCGTTTCACTTTCCTTCTTATGATGTCTTCGACGAAACCATTGGAGAAGCCGTTGTTGACTAGGACCTGCCTTACCCTACAGAGTTCTTCGTCGACTTGCTTCCATTCTGAGCTGTGGCTGAGAGCACGGTCAACATAACCGTTAACAACACTCCTCTTGTACCTGTCTGGGCAGTCGCTGTTGGCATTTAGGCACATTCCTATGTTCGTTTCCTTAGTGTAGACTGCAGTGTGGAAACCTCTGCTCTTTTCCATGACTGTTACATCTAGAAAGGGCAGCTTCCCATCCTTTTCCATCTCGTAAGTGAAACGAGAAAATTCGTGTTAGAATTATAAATCTTACTTTTTCGGTCACATTTAATAATATATATATATATATATATATATATATATATATATATATATATATATATATATATATATATATATATATATATATATATATATATATATATATATATATATATATATATATATATATATATTATATATATATATATATATATATATATATATATTTATATATATATATATATATATATATATATATATATATATATATATATAAATATATATATATATATATATATATATATATATATATATATCTCAGCCACAGCTCAGAATGGAAGCAATTCGACGAAGAACTCTGTAGGGTAAGGCAGGTCCTAGTCAACAACGGCTTCTCCAATGGTTTCGTGGAAGACATCATAAGAAGGAAAGTGAAATGCCATGCAACCTCTGAAGGGACAACTAACACAACACCTATACCCCCTATTAGACTATTTTACAGGAACGTCTTTTCCACAGCCCATAAAACGGAGGAAAGGGTCCTGAAAAATATTGTTAGTAGAAACGTTATCCCTACAGACAAAAATCAGAAGATACAACTGACAATTTACTATAAAACCAAAAAAACGGCCAGCCCACTCATGAGAAACTCTCCAGACACAAAGCAGAACGTTTTAAAAGAGACCAACGTCGTCTATGCCTTCAAATGCCCTCTTGGGGATTGTAAGCCTCAAAAAACTCAGTATATAGGCAAGGCAACAACATCTCTTTCCAGGCGGTTAACGATGCATAAGCAACAGGGCTCCATTTAGGAACATATAGTCTCTTCCCACAACCAAACCATCACCAGAGAAATCTTAGCAAACAACACAGAAATCATCGATAGATACAGCGATAGCAGGCGGCTCGACGTCTGCGAGGCACTACACATCAAGAAGTCAACATCAGCTATCAACAGCCAATTAATGCACAACTATATTCTACCCACTTCAAGACTCCGCTCCAATATAGAAGCATCAAGAAATATGGGCCAATAAAAATAGGCCTTCTGCAGTTACCTACCTTTAATACCCATTGTTTCGTGTCCTGTCTTGTGTTAAAAGTTTATTTTCACCTCATCCAAAACTATTGTAACATGTCACCTCACCCAAATGTAGGTATAAAAAACTCGAAGATGTTTAAGCTCTATTCAGTTAAAGTTGTGTGTATGTGTGTAAACTAAAGTCTTTGAAAATGTAATAAGTTTTACGAAACGCGCTCTAGTGTCGCGCCAGACTAGAAATAAAAATGAATTTTGGAGAATTGATCTTTGAATTACCATCAACAGTGAAAAGAAACGTAAGAAAGATCAAGAAAATTCGTGTTAGAATTATTAATCTTACTTTTTCGGACATATATAATAATATATATATATATATATATATATATATATATATATATATATATATATATATATATATATATATATATATATATATATATATATATATATATATAAATAAAAAAATATAAATAAATAAAATATAAATAAAAAAAAAAAAAAAAAATAATAGGGGTGGTAGGAGAGGAAAAGATTAAAGTATTCAGTGAGAATCCACAAGGTCTTCTCTGAACACTATTTATTTTCTTCTTCGAGGATGTGGGTCCCTTTAATTAAACCAGTGGTGGTACCCCTATATATATATATATATATATATATATATATATATATATATATATATATATATATATATATATATATATATATATATATATATATATATATGTCCATAGAACAAACTGAAACCAAAATATATTAATATATATGCAAATTAACCAAATTTGAGAGGAATTTAAAATCTAAGCACTTTGGGAAAGCATCATAAGATGCTGGAAGTTACACTAAACAGAAGTGCTTGTGAAATAGAATCGTCTACTCCCATAAAACTTTGACATTGAAATTTAAATTAAAATGTTAATTGAGGTATAAATATACACAAAGCAATGCGGTAGTTCAAGCTACCCTAACATGGGAACTCCTGAAGTACGATAACATAAGGACATCAATTCAGCAAGGTTAAGAGATAATATTTCAAGAAGTGTAGGTTCATCAGAGCCGCCGTGTAAAGGCAACAATTTGTACTGAGGTAAGTAAGGTAAGATAATGAGGTATGTCCCTCTGTAATCCAGGATAGTAGATAACAGTAAATTGTAGTTAATCCATCAGTTATGTAAGTTATTATGGAAGATCACTTACCATAATACCAAAGAGAGACTTACTCAATTACTCTCTCGAAACACATTTATTGTTTGTATATTCAAATAGTCACTCTGGTATTCCCCCAAAATGGTGGCTGCTAATTATGTTTAGGAAGTAACTCATAATTTCACTCAAAAAGTGTCTGCAATCACTCGTAGTTGTTTCTTTACAGAGTGATTATGCCTGCTTACTTACGCACTCTCTTCTATGACTCCTTCAAGAAGTCCAACTCCACTCTGAACAAGATGCTGGTTGATCGTACCTACTTTGTAGCCTCGCACGCTGAGGGACTGCAACATGCAGTGGAGAAAAAGTAAGTTTTTTTTCAGTTTCTGAACTAACACACTTGAAATATGGAAAATGATCCATAGGCACTTTCAGACACTCTCGGGTTCTTTTTCAAATGCAAATAAGAATATACTAAGGAGAGAGTAAAAAACGGATAAAGGTAGGGGGGGGGGGTAACTGAGCAGAAAGATGAAATAATGAAGAAAATATGCAAAAAATAGTCAACTGGAAGAAAATAGGGAATAAGAAGTTGAACGACGGAAAGAGAGGAACAATGCAAGGAGAATAATACAGAATTATAACATAACAAAACGAGAGAAAAAATTCTAGAGTAATATTATTCAATTTAATTACGAAGATGGTTATCAGATTTATCCTTGTGAAGCAGAAGTAAGAGTGTTGCAATTGCAATCAATATAACATATTTCTTTTGTTCGATAAACTCAATATTTTAGCCATCTATTTATATAGGCAAGAAAATGCAACATTCCGATAAAAAAGGGGTGACCTATATAGAACAAAAATTGTATGATAACTAATAATTCTTACAGCAATATCCTAGTTAATATAGAGCAAAATGCAAATATCTCTGCATTTTGGCCACCCCTGACATGTCCATCCAGTCTGATACCCATTCTCCTCCCAACCGTCTCATGGTGTCTGCTCTCATTCTCCCACTCCGGCTTAGACTGTGGAGGATGTCGGTCATTACACTGACATAGGAATGACTGTATCACACAGTCAGAAACATAAAGCTGGTTCCTTTTGTTGTTCCTCCACAGCGGGTAAGAGGGCTTCAGTTCATCCCTTACTTCCCACCTCCTCCTCCTCCTCTGTCCTTGCATATCTTCCCATCTCAGTGGCAGTCAGCTAACCTTCCTTTGGAATTTCCCATAGCCGTTGATTCCACTTCTGGTGCTGCAGTGCATGTTGCCGTCTCTGTCCTTCACCACCCTCATTCCCTCAACGCCTCCCTGCGATGCCTCTTCTATCATAGGCAAGTCGACTCTGCCCCGTCCTGTCACCCTCTCCACTCGGCCCCTTTCCCTCACCCTTTCGACTCTGAAGTCTTTGCTACAGTTAACTATAGCGATGCTTGCACCTGATACAGATAATGGCTCCAAAGAGCCTCTACTTACGGACTCACCATAGCCCGTGCTACTTGGAACTTTATGTTCTGAGTAGCTGAATCTAAAACAACAACAACACAGACGCTGATTTCCCTGAACTGGATGCTGATCCTCTCAAGTATACTGTTCTTGTTTGCCTTAGTTTTTCTCTTTGTTTTTATTACTTTGTCTGTTTTTCTGTATGTTTATTCATCAATGGAATGTACATGTTTTTTATGCAATTTCCATGAACTCAAACCTCTGATCACGCAGTTTTTACCGCTTTGTATCTGTCTCCAGGTGCCGCTAATTGTTGCTCATCTTGGTCACATCCTTTCTCTTCTCCTCTCCAGCTTTTGCTGGGACCCTAAGTCTACTGCTTTCTTGATCCGAAATCTAATATTTGCTGCTTTTTCAGTCGAAAATTCATTCCTCTGCCCCCTTTGTGAGTAAATGGTATACCGTGTTTTCCATTTATCTCCCCCCTCCCCTACATATTCCACGTTGTCTTCCTTACCTTAAACCCATACTAGACTTATTACCAGAGACTGTGTGTTTTTTTTTGTATCGATTTTAACTGCCAGCTTTGGGGCGATTATCTGACAAGTTCCCGATGCCACCTACCAGGGGTACGGGGTTTTAAAACTTAACTGACTTTTTCTTAACTTAATTTTATCTTCTACCGAACAGAGATTTCTACCACTTCCCTATTATTATAAGATTAACCACTGCAACTGCAACTTACTGCTGCTGCCGTCAATCAATCAGTAATGGACACAGGAGTGCATTCTAAAGGATCACCCTGAAATCGTCAAATGCACGGAGAGGGGTTCAACGTCACCTTTACTTGGGGAAACGGCTCCAATCTGACCTGTTTGTCATGAATACACACCCTGTCGAGTCACTGTGACTCACCCACTCCTTTTCTTTTGGGATGATCTCATAATTCCTCCTTCATGATATTACTGTCCTCTGTCAACCACTCTGCAATCGTTTCTCTCTCTTTTCTATAAATCCTCACCAGGACTAGAGAAAAATACAGTTGTCTACAAACAAATATTTATTGTGTGAAAATACACTGAAATTAAATAATACATCATAGTATCATAGGCTTCTACAAACCAGCAATACGCTTATATAATATCAGCTCATCACCAAATAAACTGAGACTAGGCTGCTTCTCAGTTCTCGCCCTCAGCCTCCTGCCTCTTCACTGTTTGTGGCTGGGTAAATGCCTGTAAAGTTCCTTTATGTGGCTTCACCAAAATTTGTGTAGCTCCACTACACTTGAAGTTCCACTCTTCCACTAACGTTCCCCTCTATACCTGAAGTTCTACTCCACACTTTAAGTTCTACTCCTCATAATGCTCACTAGACACGAAGCTCCTCCGCGAACTTCTCCATACACAATCCTGTGATTCCATTACCATACCATAATAACATGTTCTAATAAAATATAAATAACATATATTTATACAAAATAGATTCCTCCTTCCGACATCCCTTTCAGCACATCGGCCTTGTTGTGGTGGGTACTCCCCCATTCCCGGATGCTTCCACACTGAAATCTTCCTTTGATGGTGCGCTCTGAGCTCTTCTCCCTTCCCCCCTCAGTCATTCACTGACTTCCGGCAAGCGAGTATGTGTCTCTCTTGCCCCATCATGTCCAATCGTCTGAAATTCATTATATACTCTCACTCTCTTCATAAAATCTTTAACCTATATCCAATAACGTTCTCAACGATCGCTGGGCACACGATCAAGCAGGAACAAGCAATATATTATAATATTGAGAGCACTTACTGCAGTAAGGGTGATGCGACGACGCCCCAAATATTGCGTTCAACCAAGTCGTCCACAAATACTCTTGGATTGTCTCTAAATGCTTCTTACAGTCTCGACTTGAGTATGCGGAGTCGCCTGGCAGGTTTCACACAGAAACATCTGCTCAATTTCATCCACTCAGAGGATATTTCACAGTATGTTCCACACAGAACAAGACCACCATTATGGGCTTAAGGCCGCCCCTAATATCATTATGATCACAGATAAATGTTTTTTGCCGTCCTCGGCAGCTTCCTCACACTTTGTACAACTAGCTTTCACTCAAACTCTTAAACCGAGAGCTATAATCTTCTTTCTTCCTAGAAGGGCCCCAATGTGCGTCTATCATCGACGACTCTCACAACTCAAGGGCTCTTTACGATCTTCGCCTGCGTCACGTCTCGTAACAATGTCGACATCTTATCTCACCTCACTTCTATATGATGCTCGTCCTATGCTTGCCTCTCTTCAGTCATAATTCACTGACGTTTGCTTAATTTACTTCCTTTTCCTAACTCCTACCTCCGGTCAGGTGAGTGGAATAACTTTCACAAGAACCTTCCATCCCTTCTTCTTCGTTGTCTCTCCTGAATTTTGGCGAGCTGACTCATGTTGACTGTCACACTTGAATCTTTTCCTGCACTCGTCTTTCTCTGCTCCTCATGCATTTATATAGACCTGACATGAAAGGTTCTTGATAACCTCTACACGAGTGATCATTTCCCATCCTCGTAACCTTCTTTTCTTTCTGCCCTCCTCTCTCTTTCCCATCGGTGGTGGTTTGATCATGTGCCATCGAATGTATTCACCTTCTGTATTACTTTTTCCAACCTATCTGATCTGCCTCTCCCTCAAGCCCTCCTCACACCCAATTCTTTTATTTTGCTTCGAAAGGCGTGTGCTGTGGCCTGCGAGGCCATCAGTGCAGTGCAGTTAAGCGTGAAATTTGGAAATGATATGTTTCCACCATACAAGTTGATATCCCTCTCCCCTACATTTGAAATAAAATGCATAGTATTGTGATTAAATATATTTATCAACGTATCACATGTTTTTCATCTAGATGGTTCTGTCAAGGTAGATTTGATGTTGGTCTTGAACGAACTAAGTTTGCACTTTGCAGGCGTTATCTTCAAAACTCATATTCTTCCAACTGTCCATACTCGAAAGCCCTTTTTCCAAGTTCGCCACTTGCCTGTTGTTCCCTTGTAACGATGTCTTCTCTCTTTTAGACCTTAAGTATGCCCTGCCGCTCTGCAGTTCTACGGCGGCGGGCTCAGACGGCATTCTTTATCAGATGTTCCGTCATCTCCCTCAGTGCACCTACCAGTATTTGTTGGATATTATAACCACATTTGTGAGACGTCGTCAGTTCCCGAGGACTGCTTTGAAGTGGTTGCTCTTCCGATTCGGAAACCGTGTACTCAAGTCCCTTGAGTACCAGGTTTCCGAATAGGTACTCGGAATTTCATTCAGAGTACAAATTTTACATTCCGTCCAGTACTGGAGGAATGTAAAATCCACCCCTCCCCCATTGTCCTGACAGGATCCAGTTGCAAACAATTTGAACAAATGGTCAGATTACATTTAATGATGTTCCAACGACACTATCGCTACTTCTTTCCCTTCTCTATTTGGATTCCGCAAGTGTCGCAGCACAACAGATACCTTCGTACTACCTCTTAGTGGGTTTGGAGATTGAACATCTTATCCCAACTACCGTGGTAATCTGTCAGAGCTACTTTTGTCGGTCGTGTGAAGTGAGATTTTGTAAGATTTTTTCTAATTTTGCAACAATACTGCTGCAGAGACCTTTATTGTTACCGTTCTCTTCAAGTTTGGAGTTTGGAAACGTTTGGAGAAACGTTTTGAGTTGATCTTTGAAACTCGTTTGCCTTAGTCACCCCATGTCTCTCATTACTGAGTTGAATGTTCTGAGGCCCTTACCTTTGTTAGTCTTCTTCTGTACTTCTTGGGAAGATCATAGGTGCACAGTCCTCTATCTGCACTTTTCTCTCGTGCTCTCTAAACATGATTATGGCTGCCCCGCCTTCTCCTCAGCTTAAATCTCGACACTTCGTCGTCTTGATAC